ACTGGCAAATTAACTTAATAACTGTCAGATAATACCTTCAACATTTGTAATTTTACTTTTTATTAAGAATTTTTAGGCATAAGAATGGTGAGAAAACATCTAAGAATCTCCAAATATTAAAATGAAACCTCATTAATTATTTCCCCGATATAATGGAAAAGCCCTCATCTAACCTATTTTACCATGGCCATGACCTACTTATCAAGAGGAAAAATCTGCTATAGCCTATAGGCAAGGTCTGCTTTCGAGCTACATGCAATATATTTTGCTGCATAACAAAAATCAACATTAAAATCATCAGGATATGGAATTTTCAGCATAATTACATCCTGTGATGAAACTAAAGCAAACTAAAAATGATGGATACGTGTTTTAGAAGGCAATGGAGATTGGAGAAAACAAAAAAAATTATTAGAGAAATGGATGATTATTTATTCCCCAAAAAAGATTGTCTCCACAATCCCCAAACAATATACCAATCCAATGACTATATAACAGTGAGGACATCAAGTCAAGGTTCATGGGCAAAGAAACAAAAGCTGAAATTCTTTCCAACTAAAATTATGACTCTCACACAACTTTCTTTTAGACAACAGTGCCAAAACCAAAAACTGGACAAATCATGAAATTAAAACAAATGTTCCTGTAACTATATTATAGTTCATTTTTCACAAACCTCTTGCTTATTCCCATCAATTAAGGAAAAAGACATCACCCTGTTTAACTCCTTATCTTTAAAGTCATAGAAACATGTCTATGATTTGAAGTTACTGAGTGCATCTACAATGGCCATGATAGTCCTTAAATAATTTCACTCATATGTGAGAGAAATATATCCACAGTTACACAATCTTCTTTTACTTTTAAATATATCACTAATAGCCCACAATATTAAACTGTTTTCTTCAATTGAAGATGTTTTTGCAATTTCAAATACAGATTACAGCGAATTTTTTTGTGGTGACTTTCGCTTTACATTTAAAATAAAAATCTAAAAGGGAGATAACTCTTTCCATTTCTCTTGCTGGGATAAGATATCAAATTCTGTTCAAATAAAGTTTTTGACAAGCCTTAGTTAGGCATTCGTATTTTGAGAGACCATCAATTGATTTCTATATTATTTTACGATTAACCAAGGGTCTATAAATTAACAAAACCAACTCCAGGAAGTCTGAAATATCTAAAGCAGGATCAAATCTTGAACAAGGACAATGATGTTCTTGTATTTATGTGGTCATTTAGTGTTGTTACAACCAGTAAGCTAACCGAGTCGGAATTGAGAGGTAATTGTAGCCAGGCTAAAATGTTTGCTCATAAAGTGTCATTTTTATCCCCCTGTGTATAGAACAATTCTGAAACGGATCAATAAAATGCTTTTCTTTTAGTATGCGCCTGATCTATGTATTGTGATCCCTACAGTTTTCAATTATGCCTTCTCTGTAGCTAATATGATTCAACATGCTAATGCCATTTACACAGAAAACAATATGTTCTCCCTTCACAGCTCATTGGAAACTTGTCTCCAAGCTGCCTGTCGGGGATATTCTACTTCTCTAGATTCTGACTGCGAGTTAGAAACTAGATTACACCATTGGAGCAAGAGTTCACACCAACGATCTCAAATAGAGTTTTCATGTTATAAAATCTCAGACATTCCTGTTTGGCTTTCAAAAGATTCTCTGCTGAGAGATATAGCATTTTTCATTGTCACTTTGTCAGCAAGTGAAGAAAAATTAAGTGATTTTCTGATATTGTAATAAAAGAAAAATCATAAACTATCTATCAATTCATGAGGAAAATATCTTATGCCAATTGATTATGGATTACGCCTAAGGCACTAGATCGATGCAATGCCTCTAAGGTGAAGATAGCGAGTCTGTCTGTAAGAATTTCAAAACTACTCCGTTTTATAACATGTCTAAGAATATTGATCACCTCATTTTTTCAATATCACTCTATACTGGATGTTGGGAGAGTATGATTTACTGTGCACCTAATTGCCCATTGTAACAAAAAATCTAGGTTTCAATTTCACCCCTTATTCTGGTTTGAAGAATCATAACTTGTAGTTTGTACTTGAACCTTGATCCTTTGCATTCAAGAAGTGCCATGAAGTGGACACTTATCATATAATTATTTCTAAGCTGGGATGCATGATCAAATGTTAGTCAACTATATTTGGAAGTAGAAAGAAAACACTTAGTGTCCAATGTCACCAAAAGATTTAGAATGGGGATGTCAGGATCCCCCCCCCCCTTGGATTTTCTTCATAGTTATAAATGTGGAAAAATTTCATGTAAATTAAAAAGAAAATTATGGATGAACATCCCCATCACCCTATGATTAGAAAAATGGACTTCATGACAAATGGTATGGGAAGTAATGTATCTGAATAAATCTGAGCTGTTGAAAAAGTCACTAAAAAGTAACTTGTCTTATCCCCTAATGCAGTACTCTAAGCCATATCAACAAAAAAAAATTATGAAACAAAATACATTGATAATTAATGTCTTTTTTCCATTATCATGGATATTGTTGCCTTAATTTGATTAAATTCATAAAAAAAACACTGTAATTACATTTTTCTGTCACTTGATGCAATATAGGCAGAACCATTTAATTAACATCGGTACATAAGTTATGTTGACGAGGAACCCCAAACATTTTCTGGCAGTGTTCTAGTAATATAAAACAGATACAAGTTTTTGACATTATATAGAATTATCTTGACTAGAGATTCCACTTTGTATAATCTGCATTATATTACAAATGCATTGGTAAGTAGTTTGCGTAGCATAATTTGTTAATTGAATGTTTGTTTTTGCATAACACGCACCATGCCAAAATAAGCTAAAGGATCGTTACTTCTAAATTACCTAGAAGAAAATATATACAGAGCTTACACGCACTGAAAAAAATACCTATCACAAGTCTTCGAATCTCAGTTCCATGAGACAATACGCAGACTCAGGACCAGATAACTTGTGATGTGAAACACAATCCCTTGAAAAATGTTAAATGAAAAGATCAAGGACCACACATCCTTATAAATGAGGCTTCTGAAACCTATGTAATTACAAAAGCAGACAAAACATCAAAGAGATTTTTCTTGATGAAGGCATTTTGATAAATCAGGATGACAATGAAATTCAAAGCAGATGGTCAAGGAAATTAAACTGTGTCATTGAGTAAGGCGACAGTCATATATATATCTTGTCTCACAAAATCATTTTTTCCCCTTTTCCATCTTGAAACACTTGATATTGTTTAAAGCTTACTTTGATCACATGAATAATTCCATAAGATCAGACTTCAAAGTTGAATTAATGTGGAGAAAAAAAAAAATCACCAATTACCCAGTTAACCCATTAAATAATAGTTCCATCCCATGTACTGTCTGATTAATGGTTTATTGTCTATACACCTACAGCATATTGGTCTTAACCAGAAGAATTGCACATTCCGATGCCTCCCTATATTTAGTCATAAATGTGAATAATTGATTCATTTCTTCTTTGAACTGCTACATGTTCAATGATAATAGTAGATTACTTCATTGTCTAGCTCATTTTTACTTGGATTAACCAAATGCTTCACTTGGAAACAATTATCTAACATAGTCACCAAATAAGGACTATATACCTATCTTCTATGTACAATTGAACTTTGATATTTTGAATAAAAATATCCCGAATACTGTAGAGTACTTTTTTCCATGGGTTCATAATTCCGCAGAATCTCTATTTTTGTTCAATCTGCTGGTAGAAAATTATGTGGATATCTTAAGACTCTCATTATATGTTTTATATGTAAATTAAGTTCAATGGGACAAATTTCTGCGGAAAATTTGTGTCTGCGTACATAGCATAAATTCTAAAACCATGCAGAAAAAAGAACTTCTACAGTACCAAAGACATGTCAAACTGATTTTTAAGTCCCATGCATTTATTTTTTTAAGTACATATAAATTTATTGACAACCAAAAATGACATTTTCTTTCTCTCTTTTTTAAAAATTATTCTTTTAGTTCCTCTAATGTCCTGTGAAAGCCTTACTAAAATGTTGTCCCAATTATGGATACAAAACAACCTAAGCGACCATTCCATTTATCTATTATAGAATTGCCACGTTACAAAAGAATCATTGGGAAAACCTTAAAATTCTAAAAGGATGGAAAGAAAAATCTAAGAACAATTTACAGAAAAAAATATGTATGTTTCAAAGTTCTTTAATTCAAAATAATATTTACATAATTTTAAATATATGTATAGGCATAGAGTTACTGAAAAATGTAGAATGAAAAACTCCTTGAAAATTAACTGATTCAAAAAAGAGATGATTATTACAAAAGATAGAAATGTAGGACTTTAGCAGCAGTTTTAGGGTTTTCAGGGAAACTATCCTTCAATGAAAAATGATTGGAAAAATCAATAGCTAAAACGATGACTCACAGTTAGCAAGTCGTGAATAAGATGCACAGAGACTTATTTTTAAAAATATTAAAAATAATACAAAGAATATTCTTTAGAGATAATCAAAGCAATTAAGATATGATTGCAATTTACTCATTAAATTTCTGCAACCTCACTGTAGTACACGATAAAGGAAATGTCAAAGAGATTGGTTATTCTAGCTACTCTTTAAATTGTACAGATCCCAACAATATAGATTTCACTTCATTGATTTCACATTATAAGAACCAAATTTTCCAGAAAAATTCCTGAACCCTCAATTCTATCAACTTAGGTTTTAATTTTTCCAATACAATTGCAAAGAAGATTACAATTACAAACTCAATGAAAAAAAGTTTCATTAAAAAAGAGGGAATTTACATAATGAATTTCAAAATACCATTCAAAAAATTTAACACCATATTGTTCATTACAAATTTTGATCTAAAGACTCTTGAAATGGTTACAATCTAAATTTAATTTAAGACCAAATCTATAAAGTTTAGATAGACTAGAAGACTCTGAGGTGTGTTAAAAACTCAAACTTACCAAACGTTCAAAATCTGGTAGAAGATGTTCTGAACTTTAGAATTAAACTAGACACAAGGGGGAAAAAAATCAATAGATCCTCCTCTGCTAAAATGTGTCCAATTTTAACCATGTAATAAAGCTATAACCATATATAAGCAATGGTAAAAAAAAAAATCAATCAGGAAGCAATGAAATTTTCATGGATTTTTTTTTCTACTTCAAGAAAAAAAATCCTTCACAGTTACATATATTTTGCCACTGACTCAAGTACGAGACACTTAGGGCTGCACTCAGAAAATAATCACAAACAAATTATCCTTAATGATGCTCGTGAAAGCAAACAGTCAGGGTTTTACCAAGAAACACATTGTTTATGAAAACCTGCACACAGCACATAAAGCAAAGTCCTGTTTCATGAGTAAATTGAAAAATTGGAATATATCTGTCACTAAGATGAAAATCCGACTGGCTTTACCGAGATCTGATAGGCTGAGTAAGGCTTAGCCAAATAGTGATGCCCAGCGAAGCTTATTTGAATTGCAGATATCCATGGAGTCAATATTTGCCATCTTTGATCAATACACCAGCATCAGAATTCTTTTGACACATGCAAGTGAAGAAGAAAAAAAAATTTGCCAAAGAAGAATATATTTTCCTCCTATAACTTTTCCTGCCTATTTATAACTGGCTCTCTTACAGAGACCAAGCGCTCAAGGCGTACCTGGCCAACCTATGTCATTTTTTCCAATATCTACAAGACAAAGGAATTTTAACCCAAACCTTCTGTTTTGTGCTGGAAAACCTCGGCTGCCACTGACTATTGTGAAGCAATATCTGTCTTTGGTGTAATTAGTGAGTCTATAGGAAATCAATTTCCCAGAACCTAAAAGACTGAGTTTTTCTTTATTTAACAGCAGTTCTACTGCTGGGATATTTCCCTATTATGCATGCATGGGGAGTGGGAAGTTTTGCCAGGCAAATTATCAACATAAATGTTCAATATGAGTTATGTGTGACTGTACACAACACACAAGTAATTACAGCAAAATTGCAAGAAGATGGACCACATTTCAGAAGCTGACATGCCTTAGCTAACTCCCTCCTCCCTAAATTGGATAGTTACAGGGAATCTGTTGTCATAAAAATGCCATCTCCATACTTTTCTCATAGAGGTTTTAGTGGTTCTATCAATTTTCAGGTAGATAGAAGAGACTCATTATATCTAGATCTTCCTCATAATTATAGCTGAATTTGCTTCAGATGTTCAGTTACCTTCAGCTAAGTATCAAATAAACAGTTAAATTTGTACATAATGAACCTTTTTACAAAGTCAGTGCAATTTTTTTTTAATCTCCCCTCTTTCTCTCCCTCTCTTAAAAACAATAAAAAAAACCTAATGTGCAAGATTTTCCAGAAATATTTGAGACTTTCATTTGCTGCACTTCATTATAAATTAACTTTCTACTGGCAATTCTATACATGTCTGGTTTCTAACCTAGAGGTTTTTTTTTTCTAAAATAAAGGATAAAATGTAATTTATCATTGGACACAACAATTAATTGATATATAGCATCCTCATCATTTAATGATCATCATGAGGTCAAAAACCATACATAAATAAACAATATTCCTCTCATAAAAAGAACAACTGATACCATCAAATTTCTTGACATTTGAATTCTCTGAATAAACGATCTGGATTGTGAACAAAGTGCTTGATTTTCGAGAAGTTCACAAAAGAAGTGTAAGTTTTTGGTGTTGTTTATTATGACAACGCCTTATCATTGGAGTGGAGGGGCAGCAGAGCTGTCAGCACCAATCTCTGCCTCCGTCGTGTTCTATCTGACAAGAGTTCCCCCAATACCCACATGTAAACATGATCTACAATAAAGGTATTTGTGTAAAGCCCAGCTATAAATATCAAACTCTCTTTTTCTACCACTGCAAAGTTTCTCAGGAAGAAGTTTTAACTTGTCTAGTCATCTAAAAAATGAATAGCATAAACATACAGGCTCAACTGTATCAATTTTCCTCCCCAAATTTCTTTTATGTGGCTTACTCCAGCTAATAGTCAACAAATAACTGAGATCTCATCGTGAACCTTAAATACCTCTACCTAGTAATTAAAAATAATGAAGATGTTTCGGTTTTAATTAAGTAACACAGTATCAGAAACATTTGTGATACATCCCAGATGTTTTTCAACACCACATAGCTAAATTTCCAATTATTAATTAACAAGCAGATTCATCATGACATCACCCTTCAGAATCAGGGACATGAATGACATTGCATGTGCAGGAAAAAAGGCATTAATTTTATGCAGACTAAAATATTTTTAAATTAAACATATACTGAAAGAAAAGACTGTTAAGAATACACAATACCAATGTATGTTTAAACTACCTGGAAGAACAATTAATTTCAATATACAGACTAAGTGTCCACTGCTTCTGAATACTGGTGGGGAGGGGGTGTTTCTCAGTAATAAATTTATGAATGAATGAAAAGAAAAGCTTAAACAGGGAATTGATGCCCCCTGCTCATGGAAAGCATAAGTGGGTGGAAGGCCTAATAAGAGAGTAACTGATTACCTTGACCTTTTAATTTTGACAACAAAATCAAGAGTCTAGTAGTTTCATTCATAGAAAGAACTTCTCTAAGACTATTTCATCAGAAAATTAAAAGCATGCAGTTTTCTTTTTACCCCCCCCCCCCTTCAACCCCACATACTTTGACATCTCTGCATGGCTAAAGTTGTGACAGACCATCAGAACAATAAACTGGTACAATAAGAATTAAACCATCAAAATGTCAGAACCCTCTCAGAGAACTAGCCAAAATATAACTCCTAGAACAATAATGTTCTTGAGAAAGCTGAGTACCCCCTGATGATAATGAACACTTTCCTATTATTTTCTGCGTGTTCTTTGGATGTGAATCTTTCAGCACTTCTGGTCGCTAATAAATCACTATCTTACTTGCTAACAGCTACTGCTATAGTCTGATGGAACACTGAAGACAGATGGATGTTGTGTTAATTTCCCCAATTTTGAAATTAGAACAGTTTGTTTAAAAATTTTACATTGTTAAAATGTTTTAAATTGCAAACACACACCAGTTATCTTGGCAGTGATGATGTCATTATAAATATCATTAACAAAAGAAATCAAATTGATGGAGAAAGTCTAACATATACTCTTTTTTTTTTAATTTTCTTCTGAACTATAAGCTATGTAAGATGACCAAAGTATTTTAAAAAGGGTGCTGGATTATCTTCAATACATTACATGTTCCAACTACTACAGCAATATGTTCTGATAACTTTGCAGCTAGTATATGCCAGCAAAGTACTTCCTATTACTCTAATGTTAGGTCGACCCTGCCAAAAAACACGTAAAGTGGAATATATATAGGTATTTAGTGAGAAAACAATTAATGGTCAACAGAGAAGATCAACAAAGTTTCTCAAAACTCAAATAGAAATCTTTTATGATCTTTTCCTTATTCATAATATACATCTGTATTTTAGAATGCAAACTTTCTATATTTGAAATATAAAGAATTTTCTCATATTGCGTAAGCTTATAAATGATGATGCAGTGGGTGTTGCAATCCAACAACTATCATGACATCATTTCAATTTTTGGGGTTTCTTTCTGAAGGCCTGTAATAATTAATGAATATTTCCTTGCAGATGGAATACATATCATATAAATTTTGAATTTCTTTTGTTGCTACAACCTCTTGATTATAAACCATTTAATAGGCAAATTCTGTTAAATTATCGGTATGATTAATATGAGCAAAGAATAGATCATTTTCTAATTAAAGTTTGCAAACATCTATTCCATGCAGTCTTGTTTATTGGACAAATATCCAATCCAATTTAACTGAATTAATAAAATAAACTAACATTTACTTTGAATCTAAAATTTTCAAATGTCATATAACAACTCCTCCCAAACTAAAAAATACAACCTCCACAGTGGTATACAACTTCCCTGGATCCTATTATCTTGGAATAAAATGGCTCAGCAAGACAGACACGAGCCATTTACTCATACAGGTGCATTCAATTACTTTTTTTCTGCATTTTACTTCACCGATGCCAGTTCCTATAGACATTGTTTGACAGGCAAGAAAATGTATGCTTTTGTAAATTTGTTAAAATATCGTATACTAGAAGTCAAACAAGATGCACTGTTTAATCAAGAAACTGAATGCGGGGCTCGCCTCTGATAGTCAAAGTTTTGATCTTGCTTCTTATATGAAAAATAACTTGTTAGCGCTGATAATGTGAACTAATTTGTAATCTATCTTAAAGCCAAATCAGATCTATTTTGACAAGATCAAACTTCCTCAGGGGTGAGAAGATAATGAAACTATGTATACTGGTGAGCAGCAAAAACAACCCCCCCCCCCAAAAAAAAACATGCGTATTTAATCAGAATTCTAACAAAAATTCAATTCATTAAATCCAAGTAAAAAATTGTGTTTCTTCTCAGGACCGATCTTATAGCTGTTAACCTCAGCATCCCTGAGCCAGGACCCCCCTTTTACATTTAACATCCTTATGATCGATTTTCGAAAAAATGAAAATTAATGGATGTCAATTACTTTCAATCTAAATCTTTATTTCTTAAATTTATATATGACACTAAATTGAGACATAAGCAAAAACTCATTTATAAATTATAAATTTATATAAATTAAGAAATTAAGATTAAAGAAGGAGGTCAAAATATTTTTAGATTTACTCACAACTTGTCTGGATTTTTTTCTTTTAAAGAATGAACCGGCTTGCATTTACTAGTGTTCTCAAATCCGAAGTCATTGTTAACTTCACAGTTGGGGAATTTTTTCATTCATGTAAAAAGATAATTGCCAAAACTTTCCCAAGTTTAACCACATTTCATTCTTAACAAACAAACATTACATGCAGAAAAACACCAGTTTGTAGAATCAGAAGAAAGAATATGTAAACTTCTGGCATTATTTACAGAAAAACCTGTAGATTAGAATGTACAAATTGTTTTAACTGACAAGACTTTTTCCTCAACTCCAAAAAGATCTTGATCAAACGAGGCCATGGATTGCTTCCATATGGTTGTATTTGAGAGAAAGCCGATAGATTATCCCGTCTCTTCCTCTGCATTTCACATAAAAGAAAATGATGAGGGAGTTTTAAAAATTCTAATTATATGAATGATAAGTGATGTAATTTATACTCAAGACTGCAATGCATTAATCAGTGTTTCCTTTATGTGAAATCATTTGGGCAAACCAAAGCACACAGATGCTATAAAGCATATAAAAATGTCAATTTATATATCCCAAAAGTTGCATTAAATCTGAAATTTTATGTTTGTACTTGGTTATTTTATCATCTGGTATATTTAGTCTTTTCTTTGGGATTCTTTCTAGAGAGTTGAAAAGTACCAGTTCCAACTCACACAAGATAAATTCTATTTGCTTGTGAGAAAACTATTCATTGACATAAAATTTTGTTTGAATGATAATGATTTACTAAATCTTTAAACATATCATTAAAATGTTAAATTTGAAAGAAATGACCC